ACATGTGTTAGTCATATAAATTGTGAGTATATGCTCATCTTTGGTCTTTGTTTTACCTTTTCAGCTGTCTTGATGTTTTTGAAGATTTCCATTCAACCAGGAGCCAGAGATTTAAGTTCTCTTTAATTTTGGTAATGTTACCTAGTACTATGACCATAAGATCTAGCACCTCAAAAAGCACCCAAATTTCAAACTGAGATAATGTTGTGAGCATTAGTAATCCCCTGCAGGTAAAAATATAATTCATGGAGGATCAAGTTATCCTCTTAATTATCCTACTGGTACACCAGTGCACCTTCTCTAATTTCAGCGTAGCTACAGCTGATGTCTGGTGGTGGGAAATCAGTATGAGGTCCCATTTGAGATGAGTACGTAGAAGGTCAGATCATCAGATGTTCAAAGTCAGTGTATTTACTCCTGTTTTCATTAACCAAGCATGTGATTCCCAGCACTTGCCATTAGGCATGCAAATGCTTTCTGTCAGGTTTCTCCAGCAGAAATATTCACGCATGTCTAAAATCAATCAGCCACGTGGTTCTAGGCTCCTATAGGTATAGATCCATGTACCTAATTAACTTCAATTAATCTCCTCGAATCTCTCATTCTGATGCATTACAACTACCCGTTTTGTGTTCTTTCTCGTGCAATATTTTGGTTTTGAGACGTTTTTTTTCTACAGTGAAAAGAGTTAACAGCAGGTAATGCCATTCATCTCGGAAGGAGTTTGAAATTTTCACTGTTGGTGATGAATGAGGGTATCTGACCCACATCTGTTTTACATTAGAATGGAACATTGCCCTGACATCGTTAGGAGCATTTGTCAAGATTCCCTGGACAGAGCTTCTGTAAATTACATGCTGCAAATGTGTCAGGGTCAGATAAGAGGATATCATTAACTCCACTAAAGTTTACTCATGATTCTGTCAGTTCAACTTAATACGTTAACTGCCAACGATTTTCCTTGAGCTGTTTCATTAAATCTTTCATTCACAGGAGGGGGGAAAAATGTATCACTGTACCCCAAAAATATCGCACATGTTCTTCTCCCATAAATCATATTAATTGCAGACATGGGCACAAAGCATATTAAATGCAGGCATGCGTAAATGAATTAAAACATATGAGAATTTTATTGTGCCTATGGTAGGTCCTGCATCCAAAAATACCAACCACGTTAACAGGCGTCATGTTTCATTTAAATAGAATGAGCTTTTTCTCGGTTTAGTGGCTCAGTTGTTGATAACAGAAGTGTTTTCTAATAGCTGATAACAGCCTGGATGTCCTGTACATGGTCTTTCAGGTTTTCATCGTTCAGTTCCTCCCTCTGGACCATCTCAGCTCATGATGCTTTGCTGACCTCACCGCCGAGCGATTCGTCCCAATTAATATTTTGGGTTGCTTGGGATGTTACCTCTGAAAACTTTTCTGTACAACTTGGTTGTTGCAGCTCATCGTGTTCTCTTTGCTTATTCCTAATGGCATCTTTGTTTTCTACTAGAACAGAACCATTTTATCCATTTTATCTATTGTCTTTTATTGTATAAGCTCAAAAGCCATACATCAACGTTAATGTGTTTTGTGAAAAATGAGAACAAAATATATGCAGCAAAAAAACCTGACAGGCTGATTTTTAAATTTTTTTTTTCATTTATATTTCTAAAATAAACCGAATATTTACAGTAGCATTTGGTTCAAGCTGTTAGATCAGCCCTTGATTTTTCTTTCAGCTTCTTTGGGATGCAGGTCAGCGAGGCTGACAGCTCTTACTTTGGCTTTCCCAAAGTGATTCAGCAGGAAGTAGATATTTTCCAGCAATTTGGATGGTATACAGATTGAATAAATGTGTTTTCCTCCTTAATGGTCGTCAAACAATCAGATCTGTTTAGCTAGAGCTGTACTGTTTCATACCCCAGAAGATCTGAGTTGCAAAATCCAGACCTTGGTGTACACCACGGTACCACTTGGTGTACACCTTGTTGTGCACCACGAAGCTGAGGGTGCTGAGCATGGTGCAGAAGTGGCCCATTAATGGCTTTCTAATGGCTTAGGTGCAAGTCAGCCATGCCCTTCCTGTAGCTCCTTGTACGGGTGATAAGGTCATGGCATATACTGCACAGAAGACTTCTGCCCGCAGGCTACTTCCCTCATAGCTTTCAAAACAGACATGACCAAAAATCTAATTATTTAGATACTAATCAACTGCAGGATGAGTCCCGAAGGCCCCTGAAGAAGATATTTCTGAGAAGATGGTTACTGTTCACTTTTCTCCACATCAGAGACAGAACTGTGTCAGTTCTGCTCCAAAGTGTTTACCAAGTGCATATGCACATAATAAAAAGATGCCTAAAGACTTATATTATTATCTAATTAATTTAAAACTTTAAAAGTCAATCTCATCTAATGCTAATTATAGTTTGTGGAGAAGATAAACCTTTATCTAAATACAGATGCCACTGAAGTTTGAGCAGCTTTTGAGAGCAGATCTGGATCCAGGTTTAAACTCCAAGGCTCTGGCTCTGAAATCACTTCCAATCTCAAAGTTTTTGAGCTCGCTCTTTGCTGGCAAAGCCTAAATAATGTTGTCTTGGACTGTGTTCTATCAAAAATATTAAACAGGGAAAAGTTTTGTTATAGGATGTAGTTGATAAAATACTGATTTGCTCAAGTTGGCAATTGGTCCTACAATTCCTGGAGAGACAGCGTGTGATGTGAGAGTGCTGGTGCAGGGACGAGTGGCTGTGAGGGCCACCCCAGCTCCTTCCCATAGTCATAATTTTCAGTGTAAATATTGAGATTAAGCTGTGGGTTTTTTTGTGGATCTTTTTCTTCTTTTAACTCTGTTAGTGTCAACTTTAAAGGACAAGGATTAATAGAACTTAAATGATTGTAGGTTCTGATATTGTATCCCGCTGATGCACACTGGATTTTCAGGACTATATAATTTTCCAGAGGTGCAGGAAAAATATTTGTAACTCCCTAAAATAAAAAAAGATTCCCTAAAATAATCTTTAAGAATTTTAACAGTTTTCAGCAACAATTTTTAGAAGGAAAAATTGGGAGCCCAGTTATTTCAGCTTTTAAGGGACAAAATGTTGTGCAGGTTGCTGTGCAAATAACATGACTTTTCAACCTGTTGTGATTCCAGAGATTTTATTTCAAAAATTAACCACTTTTTAATAAGTTTTATCCATTGAAAATATTTGAATTTAAAATTTAAAATGTATTTTTAATGTTTATTTTTAAAGTATAGCCTGAATCCAAATTCTTCTTTTGTGTTTTTAACTAAATTTATACAATTTCAGTATCTAAACGAAGTCTTGGGATATATTTTGAACCATTTTTTTGCACAAATGCTCCAGTTTGCGAAGCATTCAGTGAACACCATCAGTTAAACTCGTGGTTATTTGCTTGGTGAAGCAAAAGTGAACATTCTAGTGCTGGGAGGACTAACTGAACTTCTTTCTCAGCATTTTTATTTTTCCAGTGAGTTGTCTTCAGCGCTTCTGATGTTTTGTGTTCTTGACATAACATCTGGGTGTCTCATTCTGAAGGATTCTGCTTGTGCCTCTTGCTCCTCCTCCTAATGAGACATGTAAAATCTGGACAGCTCTTCCTTTCCTACTTACATTATAATCCCTGCATCTTGGGTTTTTTTATTTACTAAAAACAAACAAAACTCAGAGCTGGGACCTCCTTCTTTTCTTTTGTAATGGAAAATAAACACCATTCAAGAAGGAGCTTCAGAGCTTTAGGAACGAGATGTATTCTTATGGGCGTTAATTTATTCTTTACAAATAGACTCCAATTGTAATAATTTCATTTTAGTTTATGGTAAGAAGTGCAGGAAAGCAAAATGATTATCAAATGGCATACGTCAGTGTTTGTAATGCCTTTTTGGAGGAAGAACAACCTGTAAATTATCAGAATATGCTGTTTTGGCAGAAGCTGTACGTCATCCATCCGTTATAAGCTGCAGACTGTTCTCAGGCTTTGATGTGCAACTTACTCCGGCAGAAGAAATTTATCAGTCGTACTTATTTTCAAAATGTGCTCTAGAGATGTGCCAGGAAAGGAAACACACACCAGCCTATAGTGTGAGTGATTTTTGTACAAGAAGAATGTATCTCTGCAGCTTCCTTCACTTCTTGAAAGCACAGGTGCTTCTGAATTTATTTTTTTTTGTCTTGGTTTTTATAGCAATAAACATGTATTCTCCAGTAATCTCTTTTCAACTAATCTTGACCGTGGATTTCATAACTGCTCAAGTACAAGCAGCTTAAGGGAGTCAGAGGTGACTTGAAGGTGGTCTGGAACACCTGACTGCTTCTGTTGTATCCTCTAGCTCCAAGGATGAAGCTGAGAACTGGTATTAGGACCAGCACTTTACTTTTCCACATTCACTTCTTCTCAGGCCAGCACACAGGGCATGCAGCAGAGGAGGGGTGGCTGTTCTGCCCCTCCCCCACATATTCAGGGTCTTCTGGGTGCTGGGATTCTTTGTTACTTCTGTCGGTAGCGTCGCCATGATCTGCTCAAATCTAATTTCATTCTGTTAACTGTTGATCTTTAAAATAAATTCTGTGAGCTTTCTCACAGCTTTTCTGTGTGTGTAGATCACGCGGGACAGCGTGGCTAAAGAGCCACTACTTGCTGCTTATTCTCTTATAATTGAGTCCTCAAGGAATAAACATCTGCAGAGATCCCAGCTGGGGCGTGGGATCAGGCGCTCTAAAATCATAAAAGCTTTTAAAATGATTTTTCCTTATTTGCCCTTGGCATCACTTTTTACTGGTTGTTAGCCATCAGTTTTTATTTTGTTGGATGATGCAACCAAATTCCATTTCCTCTTTGAATTAAGGTGCTCAAAGCATAGTCTGAATACCACCAAGTCTACCTATTTTGGGGAATCAAACGATAGGCTGGAGAACTTCTCTGGCTCTGTAAGCAATACAGTTCTTCACGTGCTTTAACTCTTTCTGTTCTTCTACCTTTGATTGTAGGTAATGGGACTCCTGACTAACCATGGTGGTGTGCCTCACCAGCCCCAAACCGATTATGCCCTGTCCCCTTTAACTGGGGGCTTGGAGCCCACCACCACTGTCTCAGCCAGCTGCAGCCAGCGGTTAGATCACATGAAGAATTTGGACAGCCTGCCTACATCCCAGTCCTACTGCCCACCGACCTACAGCACCACGGGTTACAGCATGGACCCCGTCACAGGCTACCAGTACGGACAGTACGGACAGAGTGAGTACTGGGGCACTGCTGAGCCTGTGCCTGTTAATCAACGGTCTGTAACAAAAGAAAATAACGAGCAGCAATCCTAAGGAGTGACTACTGCTCCTCTGCAAAGCTGAGCGGAGATAGCGGATTGTTCAAGCAAGATTTCTGCTGCATAATTATTTTCTTAAGTGATGTCAACAACATCTTGATGTTATTAATTGTTGAGACATGAAACCTGATTGCCATTAGGTAAAACATAAGGGTTGTCCAAAATGAAATAACCACTGGCATTCTGCTATTAGAAACACATGTTCTTAATGAGGTCAGCTCAAGAATCATTACAGTATATAATCCCAGATACATAGAGTTTTGTCAAACTTGTCCTAGGAATAAAAATATTAGTCCTTTTCCTTTGATATATCAGTATTAAATATGACAATGTCAACCTGTAGTTGGCATGGCCCCTTGCTGTGAGGTTGTCACAGCATGACTTAAAAAGCTTCTTTTGCTTTTTTGCAGGTGCCTTTCATTATCTGAAGCCAGATATTGCATAAATGAACTGTCCACTTCAAGTGAAAGCTGGTCTTGTTTTCCGCTCTCACTCCAAGGCTTGGATAGGAGGGATCCTCTCAACACACGGCAGGCTAAACCGGGGCAGTCCCACCGAGAGAAGCAGGCTTGTTATGTTCTCTCTGGTCATAGCTTTTAGTAGACTTTTGAAGGCTGGACACAGCTACGCAGAAGACAAAGGCCAAAAGCAATAATGAATAAATAAATGTGACATGGTTCATTATGACTGGGTGTACAAAACAGAGCAGTATTTAATGGTACTGCCTGGCAAAACATTCCATTTTTTGTTGTTGAAATAAATGTGCATTGATTGGGACAAATGGAACATTTTGGAGCTTGGAGCTGTTGAGCTCTGCGTCCTCTGACTCGTCTGATATCCAGTGCTGGCTTTAGTCTAACTTTAAAACTGCTCCATTTCTGAAGCAAGGGCAGGAGAACCTCTTTCATTTTACACACTGGAAACCAAGAGGAGATGTGACAGTTCATAGGAAGCTACTATAAGTGCAAAAGACCTCCAGAGCAACTTACTGGTTTCCTTACTGTGCTTTTGTAATCACGTTGTCAATAAATGTCACTTAAAGTTTTGCTTTACCAAGAGACGGGATCTTGTGTAACACGAAACCCAGATTTTACCTTTTTCTCTGTGGAGTTTTCCGAGTCTGTTGTACCCTTTTCAAGCAAACCTGGGAGAGAAAAAAAAAAATCAACACCAAGGCAACTGATTTTTCACAACTGCCTAGCAATGTGCAATACCGTGTACCTCACATAGACTTTGGGATCATCCAAAGTCATAGAGATAGAACTATATTTTTGCAGGTACTTTTATTTTTGCAGTGCATAATTCCTGATGATAAAATACAGAAGTGTTGCAGTCTGCTGGACAACTAAAATCCAGCTTACTAATCGTGAGTTAAAGGTCATTTTCAGGAAACAATAGGAAGAAATGATGACGTTTACATTTTTCTTTTATTTAGTGACGTACGGGGCATAGCGATGGACCCGTACTTGACACATTTGTTTAAATTATACAGCAATATCCAATATAGAAAATATAATTATAGGAACCAAGGTTTACAAGGCGTTTGCATTGTGACATTTTAGAATGTCAATAAATTTGTGTTTTGTGATGTTGAGAGGAAGATGGAAGGCAGTGTTATTTATTTCTCTCTATTCTTAGAACAAAGAGGGAGGCAGAACACAAATACATTCCTTTTAGCGTTAAGGACTATGAAGTAGTGAGTTAGACTAGGTTCAGTACAGAGGTTAGTTCACACATTGGTCTTAAGGGTGATGGAAAAATGAAATATTATCTTTGTGTTGCAGCCTCTACAACAACATGTGTTGTAAAAAAGAAAAACAAAACAAAACAAAAAAAATCAACAAAAGAAGAAAACAAAAAACAAATGTCTTTCATGTAAAAAGTTCAGTAAATATTTACTATTTATAATGAATAAACATTATGAAGACTTGCAAAGCACTGATGATTTTGTCCTAAAACATAGTATTGTGCTAAATACATTGATACATTTTAATCTGAATATCATGAGGAAATAAACCATGTTATCTTCAACGCAAACCGTATCCGTTCTGTGAGCGTGTTCTGCACACCTCCCGGGGCTGTGGGAGCCTTGGGCAGCTCCGTGCCCAGCTCTGCTGGTGAGCCACTCCAGGCTCTCTCTTTCTTCATGGGCTATGCACTTTTCCAGTGCTGTTGGTACTGGTAGTACATTTTCCCCACATGAGAAAAGCATTGTGCCTTTGCTGTGTAGTTAAGGAAATCAGGCTTAAACTGGGCACAAGCAGAGCAACTCGGGTGGCTTCAAACAATGCAGGAACTTTGTCATCAATTATGGATGGTATCTGTCCTGAATTAGTTTTTTTTTTTTCTTTAGATGTCCCAAATTTTTTAATAGGCTTCCCCACAAGCTGGTTGAAACATGGGGAAGACCTTTCAAAATGAACGGAAAATGTTGCGGTGGCAGATTGTTGTGTGATGAAATTTTACCTCACACTAGATGTGGTGGACATTTACCTTCCTCACCTTTCTGGGGGGGATGTAACCACCTTGAATTTCTTTCAGCTTTGATTTGTGTCCGTTCTATATTTGTTTTATTTTGTTCTTTTAACTCTAGCCCACTTCCATTGGAAAAGGAAAGAATATACTTTTTGAAAAGAGGACATGAGAAAACGCTGAGCACTGGGGAAAAGGGGATTTCTTTTTTTCTTTCCAGTTTGTTTCTCTGATATGCTTTTAATTTTTTCCTTCTCTCTAGCCTCAATGTCCTCTCTTTTAGTTTAAAACCATCACCCCTTGTCCTGTCGCAACATTTCTCCTTGCAGTGCTACTGAGGTGCTCTCCTGATGTGAAGTTAGACGGCAGCATTTTGGCTGCTCCATCTTCTTTTTAACTGTCTCCCAAGCACTTCCTTGTGCAAAGAGGTTATGGCAGAGCTGGAGAGCCTGGAAAGAAGGAGAAAACCACCTGCTCCTTTCACAGGCAGTCCATGCAAGTGGGGAATTGGGATGAGATCTTGCCGGAGGAAGCAAAGAGCCTGGGGCAAAGGGACTCTGCAGTTCCCCGATTTATGATGCGCCACAGGAATCTCTGACAGAGCTGTAAGGATTACTTGGGATACTGCTGATCCCTTCTTGTTATCGTTGTCAAGGCTGAAGAGGTTCTTGGGAGCCACATGTGTTTCTGGAACACGAATCCTGAACACTCGGAATATCCAAGGGGCACGAGCCTGCTGTGGATACTGTGTGTGACAGAATAGCTTGGAGGAACGTGCACACAGAAACTGAGTCCAAAGCCTCCTCAGTGCTGAGCACAGAAAGGATGGATCTCAGGGTCCTTCCTTTTTTTTTTTTTTTGGGGTGGGGGTTTGCTTATTTTACAAGATGGAAATAAATAACAGCTGCTTAACCAACTGCCTGTCATCTCATAGACAGAAGAATGAGAAACTCTTGAGAGGCAGGCTTTGATGAAAAAAATATTTATTCCTTGTGGCACAACTTTTAATTTATTTTTTACTTTTAAATCTTCCTTTATCTACGAATAACTTGTACGCCCATCAAAATACCCCAAATATGCATTTTGGCATATAATTACCTTGGTATATGCTACTAATCCTGTATTTGAGCATGTGTAATTTTTAATGAATGAGGTAGGAAAACAATTATTTTTCAAGGCACTTATTTTCCTTCTGTTTTCACTGGATGATTCAGTGTATCCCATTTAAATAAAAGCTATAAATAAACATTTTTCTCAACAATCACACAGGACTTCTTACTCAGTATTGCTGAAAAGTGTCTTGTCGGTCCACGTGACAAATGCTGTTGAAGTGTATCTTTCTATAGCTACTTTGAAAGGAACAAAATGACTGTCTAAACTTAGAAATCCTCACTGAAAACAGCTGATTCTTAACTGGGAACCATTTCCTCAGAAATCCATTTCTGCATATACATGATATCAAGGCTAGGTTTTTAATCCCTAGGTTAAGGTCTGTGCAAATTCAAATAAAAAAAATAATCTGGCTGCAGGTCTGCAAGCTAGATCTCCAAACTTAACTAAAAAACTACAAAGATACATCATTTTGAAAATCCAAACCCCACTCCAAGTTATCAAATGTTACTAATAATTTATATAGTAAGTATGTATTTGCATTTTCTCAGAAGGATGACATTATAGCACGAAAATTGTTATGTCTGAATTCTGTGGTAAATTCTCATATGTGTAAGAAATTTGTTCCCTCTGGTCAGAGTGCTGTTGGTTGCTGCCAATGTGCACAACATAAATATTTGCTGTGTTAGAAATCATGAAAGTTGTCAGTATTTTCTACCCCTAAAGTTTTCTGGCCTTAAAGTCTATGAAGTGAATTACTAACAGGTATCTCTGTATGAAATAGCGAGAAATTTATTTAAGGCAATATCAGTGAGACCATCAGAAAGCTGGAACAGCTTGAATTCATAAACTTCTTTGTATTGTTCACTTCAGTGTTCTGTGGTTCACTCAATAATGTCAAGAAAACCTGCATCCTGATTAGAATATCCTATTTTAAATTTATTTTGGCTTTTCCAATGGCATCTAGACATTGCCTAGAGCCAGACAAAAAAAAAAAAAAAAAATCAGGAACAATACGAGCTACTACACTAAGTTAAATTGCTAAATTTCTGTTCTATTAACATCAGAAAGGTATTTTGTTTACATTAGATATATGATATTGCAATGCTCATTTGCCGCTGCCTGAAAAAAATCTTATGTGTCTTTCAGTTTATTCTGTAGCTGGTGTTATCATAAATCAGTACATGTATTTATGTGGAGTCACAGGGTCATCTCGAAGAACTACATGAATGGATCTGAACCTGTTCAAGATACTTGTCTGTTGTAAAATAATGAAAATTACAGTCTGCTGTTGCAGTTGATGTGGGTAACAGGCTCTTTGGTCTGTCAGACTTTCACTACATATTCCCTCCCAGCACTTCTGGGCAGCTCATCACAGGCTGGGAAGTTCTCATCAGTTACAGGGACCAAAGTGTTTTAGCTGGATGGTTACTTAGGTTCAAAAACTTACCAAGTGTTTATTGCACAGGCAGAAGCAGCTTTCAAAATCAGTATGTATGCATATCTAGTGCTCGTGCCCGGTTCTGTTTTTCCGTTGTGGTTCCACAAGCAACACTTTGCAGTGCTCACACATAGTTTAAATCATTGCTTAATGCTTTTCTATTGCCTCAGAGTTGGTGACTGAAAAGGCTTGTAAACCAGAGTGCTTGTGGAGAGCTTTCTGACATGCACTGTTTATTATTCAGCTACTCAGGCAATGTCATGAAAAATCATAATAAAACTAGGAAGACACATCACATTTGACCTTTGCTGAATAATTTAATAAAGCCAGCTCGATACACAAATATGAAAGAGCAGTTGCTGATAAGAGCAGAACTATTGCTTCCTTGTCTGAGAATTGGAAACAGTTCAGAAGCTTTATTAACTATTCGGTGTCTTCATCTTCAGCTAAGTTTGTCCCTTAGGCCATAACCAAATGTTAAGCTACTTGTTTCTTCCTGCACTCTCCTTCC